CTTTACCATCTGAGCCACTAGGGAAGTCCTATATCACCAGTATAGAGGGGATATAATCCAGGTCCACGGAGCCAGGAGGTGCTCTGGGACTCAGAGGAGGCAGTAGCCTGAAGGAATTAAAAGGGATTTCCTGGAGGAAGAGGGAACCCTGGGCCTGGAAGGGCCACCTGCAGGCAGCAAGACTTGAGAAGTAGAGATGGAGAGGGGACAGAGGCCATCTAAAGGCAGAGGCTAAGAAAACAATGCTAAAGAGACCTTGACCTCTATGTCTACAGGGAACTGAGCAGAAGGCCATTCCCTTCTCCAGGGGATCTTCCTGAGCCAGGGATCAAACTCGGGTCTCCTGCATTGCAGGCAGACTCTTTATACCATCTGAGCCCTCTAAAAAACCCTCCTCCTCTCACCTGTCCTTCCCTCCTCCGCACCCCCCCTCCCCAGCCAGGTGGAGGTCAGAGAGACATAAACAACCCATGGTTTCCAATTAATTTTTAATTGCAACTTGAAATTCTTAATTGCAGCTGAAATGCTATCACTGGTGAAAACGTGATGGTGGGGATGGAGGCGGGGGTGACCCAGTTAAAGATGCTCGGCCCCTGCTGCACTGGGCACTGGGCGCTGAGCCGGCAGAGGAGGGGGCCAGAGGGCAGGTTGAGCCTGGCAGGATGGCGTGGCTGTGTAGTACCCCAGCTCCCTGGACTGCCCCCTGGTGGCTAGAGGCAGGCACTTTGACCCGTCCTCAGTTGAGGGCTACCTGAAAGTCCCCTTTACCAGTATCTCATTATGGCTGTCGCGGGTCCGAACAGGAAAGAGCTGCAGGCTCCATCAGGCCAGTTAGAGGCCTTCACTGGAGCAGCGCCCAGAAGCAGAAACTCTCTGGGGTGGAAGGCCTTCGAGGGCTCCATAGGAGACCGAGGCTGTTTCCAGGGAGACCCAGACCCTGCAGAGGTGGTGGAGGTGACTGATTAGAGATTAGAGCCCAAAGTGTACTCAGTGGGGAGGGCTGAGCAGTTGTCCAGGTTTACCTGAAACTGAGGGGTTTCCTGGAATGTGGGATTTTTGGTGCTAAAACAAGGAAAGCCTCAGGCAAGCCATGATGAGGGGTCACCCTAGTTGGACACAATTAGCGCCTTTGACAGCACTAGTTTTGGGGGTGAGTAGCTGCGCTGTGGCTCCTTCTGGGTGGCGGGACCTCCTAACTATAGGAGGGAGGGGCTGCTCCTTCTCCCACCGGGGCCCCTTGACCTGTAGCGGCCAACATCGTGACCCACAGGGGCTGTCAGTGCCACTAGTATCCTGGGCATTTCACCCACTGCCTACACTTCATCCACCCGGAGCAGGAGACAGACGTGAGCTCTGGACCTGCTCCTTCACAAACAGCCCCGCATTTAACAGAAGGAAGGCACGTGCCTGGGCTGAGCCTCAGTTTCCCCATCTGCCTTCCCCCTTGCCCAGGAGTAGCCAGGACCAGGTAGGGGTGTGGCTGGGCAGAGGAGCTCCAGGCCAGCTGGAGGCCAGGGATGTGCTGCCTGGGCCTCAAAGCCTGTGGAGAGGGAAGAGCTCTCAGAATGCAGGAGAGAGCCCCCAACCCACCCAGACGGCGATGGGGGCAGGGTGTCCAGAGATGGAGCTGGCTGCGATGTGTGCCTGCTGCCCCTCCCAGGCTGCCTTTGCAGACTCTTTGGAGAAAGCAGTTGGTTCTCCATGGGAGCTATCACCTGAGACCTGACAGCTAATGACAACAGAAAGCCTGCAACTTGGCTTCCTCCCTGGGTTTGCCTGGAAGCCTGAGTGGGGCTGCCGGGCAGGAGTGGGGGCTGGGCAGGAAGGGGTCAGACGCTGGCCTGGGGAGGAGCTGGGATAGGGGTAGCAGCTGGAGTAGGGGCAGGGACTAGAGGGGTGAGAGTATTGAGAAGCATTGGCTTTTTTGGAGAATTGGGGGAGGGTCTGACAAGCATGCTAAGCCAGATAACTCCTCCTCCCCTCATTCACTCATTCATTCAACAGAAGCTTACTGAGTAGCTACCACGTGCAGGCCCCATTCTGGATGCGGGGGTAATCTCAGGAAAGAAACAGACCAAAGTCAGAATTTCTGTCCTTGGAGCAGGTGACAGTCTCCCCTAGAGTGTGGTTCCCAGACCCCCTTGGCCAGGCTTCCCCCCCAGCAGCACCCCTAACTTTCCATCTCCAGTTCAGGTCTGCAGTAAGGCAGATGCTGAGGCTTTGAAGCCTGAGGAGGGCAAGGGGGCCTGTCTGTCCCTGGATGTCATGCCTTGCATCTCCTCGGCCCTGAATGAGGCCCGATATAGCCAAAGCTGCTTCAGCCTCAGCAGTAGTCCTGACCCCCAGAGCTAACAAGGCACCCCAACTATCTAGGAACCCCTCTGGGATGCCTCAAGTGCCCTACTCCATACAGTCAAAACTTACCTATCCTGGGCCCTTCCCTTCAGGTGGCCCCTGGGAGTCCATGGGGCTCAAGGGCTTGATGAAACAATCAAGTACCCATTCACGATGGAGTCCTCAACCATGCACGCTGCCCCCTTCTGTGCCTCCAAAGCCCTGCCCTTGAAGGGCCCAGAGACAAGTGGGGGGAGGGGCTGGGGTCCTCAAATGCACGTGGTACCATTTTTTTTTTCATTTATTTTTATTAGTTGTAGGCTAACTACAGTATTGTAGTGGTTTTTGTCATACATTGACATGAATCAGCCATGGATTTACATGTATTCCCCATCCCGATCCCCCCTACCACCTCCCTCTCCACCCAATCCCTCTGGGTCATCCCAGTGCACCAGGCCCGAGCACTTGTCTCATGCATCCAACCTGGGCTGGTGATCTCTTTCACCCTAGATAATATACATGTTTCGATGCTGTTCTCTCGAAACATCCCACCCTCGCCTTCTCCCACAGAGTCCAAAAGTCTGTTCTGTACATCTGTGTCTCTTTTTCTGTTTTGCATATAGGGTTATCATTGCCATCTTTCTAAATTCCATATATATGTGTTAGTATACTGTAATGGTCTTTATCTTTCTGGCTTACTTCACTCAGTATAATGGGCTCCAGTTTCATCCATCTCATTAGAACTGATTCAAATGAATTCTTTTTAAAGGCTGAGTAATATTCCATGGTGTATATGTACCACAGCTTCCTTATCCATTCGTCTGCTGATGGGCATCTAGGTTGCTTCCATGTCCTGGCTATTATAAACAGTGCTGCGATGAACATTGGGGTGCACGTGTCTCTTTCAGATCTGGTTTCCTCGGTGTATATGCCCAGAAGTGGGATTGCTGGGTCATATGGCAGTTCTAGTTCCAGTTTTTTAAGAAATCTCCACACTGTTCTCCATAGTGGCTGTACTAGTTTGCATTCCCACCAACAGTGTAAGAGGGTTCCCTTTTCTCCACACCCTCTCCAGCATTTATTGCTTGTAGACTTTTGGATAGCAGCCATCCTGACTGGCGTGTAGTGGTACTTCATTGTGGTTTTGGTTTGCATTTCTCTGATAATGAGTGATGTTGAGCATCTTTTCATGTGTTTGTTAGCCATCTGTATGTCTTCTTTGAGCACTGCACCTGAGTAACAGAGACCCCCTATGTACGATATGCCAAGTGCAATATTGGCACTTCATGTAGATGACCTGTTCATGCTCATGAGAACTCTATAGGGTAGGTTTTGTCCTATCCCCATTTAAAAGATGAAGACACTGAGGTGTAGGGAGGTTCCCTGACTTGTCCGTGATCCTTCGGTTAGGGGCAGGGAGCTTGCTCACAAGCCCAGGGATCTCACCGTGGAGCCCACGCTCCTAAGGCCCACATTGTGCTCTCCTGAGGGGCAGGCAGGTTGGCAGCAACAGGGCAAGGTGGGGAAGAAAGCAGGTGAGCTCCTCAGTGCTTGCAGGGCAGGGTTCCTGTGGGCGGGGTAATCAGCAAAGGCTCCTAGGGGAGAGAGGATCCTCCCCAAGGGCACACCCTGAGCAGACCCCTGCCTGTGACCTGTTCTCAGGCGGGGCCCTGCAGAGCCTCTGCTCTCTCTCAAAGGCTGGACAAGAGAACACGACATGGATCTGCCACTGGCCCTACCAGGGTGTGTAGTTTGCTCAGAGATGAAGAGCAAGGGCATTACCAGGAAGGGGGACAGCATGATCTAAGGCCTGCAGGTGAGGGTGACTGCTGGGGCCTTCCTAGAGAGGAAGAGAAGGCCTGACTTGGTGGGGAGGGGTGCTCAAGACCCACAAACCAGGGTCAAGTTGAACTGGTTTGGCTGAGGCCAAGGGAGATGCTGGCAGTCAGGCCACTAAGCCAGCCGAGTAGCGACCTCTGCTTTCGACTGATTTGAGTCCAGAGCCCTGAGAATCTGGGAATAGTTGGGCTAACAGAGCCTTCCCAGATCAGGTGGCCCAACACATCTTGTGCTCCTGGGAAATAGGAGGCCCGGGGAGGAAGGGCAGCTTGCAGGCCTCCCTACCTCCTTCTGCTGGTGTGTGGCAGTCCCAGGGCAACAGCAGGCAGGAAACACTGTCTGAGGTTTCCAACCATCCAGGAAGAAGCCTGAAAAGATAAATCCTCAGCAGAGAGGCATAAACTAAGGCCTAGAAAGGACAGAGGCAGACCTCCTGGCCCCTGACTGCCTGCTTTGGCCCCTTGAAGGCCAGACTCTTTTTTTCAGTCCACATCTTGGCTCAGCAGCCCTGGCACCAGGGATGACCTCCCTGTTCCTCTCTGTCTCTCCAAATGTCCCTTGGATTGGCTGGACCTTTATCTGTGGTTGGACGTAGCCCCAGGCTCTACTTTCTCCAAGAATTCTTCCAAGATCGCTGCCACCTGCCAACCTCTCACTTCCTTGATTTTCAGCCTGAGTCTGTTCTGCTGAAAGGAATGGGATGGTGTGAAATCAGGATTTCTTCCTCTGTCCCTCCACAGGCCTGCGCTCCTCTCCTGCTATGCCCTGAACTCCCCAAGGTGATGAGTTTATCAGAGGCTGATCTTCCTCCTCCCCTATGCCCCCAGAGCAGTCATGCTGGAAAGAAGAAGGCCATCAAGCCCTGGTCTGCCGGAAAAGCCAAAGCAGGCCCCCTCGGCTCCATCCTGCCTGCCCTCGTCACCGGCATGGCAGAGAGACGGCCCCTGCTCCTGCAGTGGGACCACTAGGCTTTAGGCATGAGATTGGGTGACCTTAACCTCCACTTCATTCACTCCCCAGACCAGCGCCCTCCCCAGCCCTTCATGGATCACTTCAGGGTCAGACAGGCACATGTGGCTATTAGCCCAGAGTCTGTAACACAACCCTACCAGGGCTTATCCAGTGTCCCTTACATGCCTCCAGTGACAGGCTGCTCACTACCTGTAGCATCACTCCATATCTCGCCTGGGCCGGTCAGCATCTGTGTCTCTTTAAGTCAGCAGTGCCTGGTGCCAGAGATTCTGACACCAGGTCCAAAGCTGAGCAGAGTAAAGGCTGGACAACTCATCGCTGGCACATAGAAACAGGACCAGCCTTTGCTCTCCACCCTGGCTGTTGAGTCTTTTGTCTGGGCAGCATCGCATCACCCATCTGCCCTTCCTCCCTCCTTGCTCTGTGTGATTTTCTTCTCCTTCTCCCCCCACTTCCTTGTATCTAAGGATTGCATGAGTCACTTCACTTTGAGCTGCCAGATGTCGAATGCAGTAGGGCTCAGAGTGGAAGCCAATTTTTTCCCTTTACTCAAAGAGAGTCCAGGGCCGATGGAAGCCCCCAACATCATCATCCTGGATTTTTTACATCCTGCATTTTTGACAAGGGTTGGCATGGTTGTGTCAGCTAGCGCTACATCTCCAGGGTTCTGACCAGTGCCTCCTCCACTGCCAGCTTGGATTCTCCTGCTGGCCTGGGGCAGGGGGCCAGGCCAGCCTGTATCGTCTAGGGCACACTTAGGGCCAGCGCCATCCCCCAGCCCCTCGGGCACAGCTGATCTGAGAGGAGCCAAGGCCCGGGGCCCACCCCCGCTCCCACCAGGGAGTTTTCAGCGAGAGCCTCGTATGCACCAGCTCCATGCTGGTGCTGTGGGGGAGACAGGAAGAAATAAAGCGGGCCCTCGCCTTCAAGGAATTGGCAGTCTGTTTAGGGAGACAAAATTCATACAAACAGTGGTTCATGTTTTTCAGTCTGGATTGTGCCTCTTTCTTCCACACGATCTCATTTAGTTCTCACAGCTCTTCAGCGTGGTGTTATTATCCTCACTTGACAGACAGGAAGAACGGGGCTGGGGAGGTTAAGTGACTCATCCAAGGTCACATGGGTGGGGGTGGTGATGGTGGAGCTGAACCTCAGCCCCCGTCCATCCATGGGTCCCCCATCCTCACTACATGGTCAGGTTGGAGGGGACACAGGGGCAAGTAACCAGACAAGAGGCCCACTGTCCTCTTTCCCACAGCTGAGACTGGACTCTGATCCTTAGCCATGACGATCTATCTGCCTTGAGCAATTCTTTTTTTTTTTTAGTATTCATTTATTTTTGACTGCTGTTGGATCTCAGTTGTAATACTTGGGATCTTCCTTGTGGCACACAGACTCTCTAATTATGGTGTGCGAGGTCCAGAGTGCATGGGTTCTGGACTTGCGGCATGCAGGCTCTGTAGCTGTGGTGCCCAGGCTTTGTTGCCCCATGGCCTGTGGAATCTTAGTTCCCTGATCAGGGATTGAACCTGCACCCTCTGCATTGGAAGGCGAATTCTTAACCCCTGGACCACCAGGGAAGTTCCTGTCCTGGGCACTTCTAGAGGTGCTTGATAGGCCAGAGAGATTGTATGTTGGGGAGTATGAAAGTGGGAGTTAGAGAGGCCTTCTTAGTTTGAGTTCCCTTGAAAGAAAAATTTGAGACCAGGACTTGGGTGCCTGTGGTGTATTTGGGAGGGAGTGTCAGGAAGCAGGAGGGAGGGGGTGGGGTGATAGAGGGGGAAGGCAGGAAAGATGTTACATAGGAGCGTTAGCGGAGAAGCCAAGGTATGGACTGGGCTGTGCTCCCTAAGACCTCGCCAACGGTTTGCCCAGTGATGGAAGGCTGGGACACTTATCTACCAGCTCCCATCCGCCATGGGTTGGCGGGGCAGCCCCAGAAGGGTATTCACTCCTCTGCCTGCCTGGATCGCACTTGCTCATGAGCCCAGCAGGCTCTTAGGGCACCAGAAAGAAAGAAAGCGGAAAGATTGGCAGCAGATTCTTGAGGTGGACACTGAGCTGGCGTAGAACTGTCTCCTCCTCTGGCCAAGCCAGAATTGGCCTCTGTGGGGCTGCATAGAGTCGGACACGACTGAAGCCCCACTTAGCAGCAACAGCACAGGGAGTTAGGTAAGTTTAGTTTGCGTGTATGCTAAGTCACTCAGCCATGTCTGACTTTGTGACCCCATGGACTGTGGCTCAGCAGGCTCCTCTGTCCATGGGATTCTCCAGGCAACAATACTGGAGCGGGCTACATGGCTTTAGAAACACAAAATTCTGGACACTACTGCTGCCGTAGAAACCCCAGCTCAGTGATCCAGAGGGTGGGCTCCGTGGAGCGGTTCCTGGCAGGTGCCCAGCCGGGTGCCCTGGAGTGCAGTGGAGAGCGAAAAAGAAAAGTCAGAGGAGGAGGGGAAGGACAAGACGTCTACACACTCTTGATTCATTTTGCTTATGGTCAGCCTCAGTTGCCTACATACCCTTCTTTCTCAAGAGTGAGAAGCGGGTCTGAGCTGCCTGTCCTCGGCTCCCAGCACAGAGAAGCTGCCCAGGGAAGTTGCACTGAAAGAATTAGTATGGTGATGACCCAGATGGTGCTCTTGGCTGCCAAAGGTTGACTCTGGGCCCCTGGACTCAGCTCAGACGGCACTGGGCCTCCAGGGGAGTGAGACGTAGAGGGCAAGCCACCCCTTCCTAACTGACTAGGCCCTCTGGCTCATAAAACCCTGGGTTCTCTCTTCCTACCCCCACCCTTCCTCTTCCACTTGATTACTTATCTCTAGAATGAAATGGTTTCAAGTTGCCAGGTGTTTGGGGGAAAATATCCCATGTAAGACACATTCCCTCTATAAACTTGTATTGTGTTTTTGATTGTCTCCCATAAAGGAAGAGATGTATCTTCCAGTTTGTGTTTACGACTGTGTAGCTGAAAAAAAAAAAAAATCAATTCTCTCACTTTCCATTTTTTCTCTACCAAACTTCCCCCAGCAGGCCTTCTGCTGGGCTAACAGGCCACTGCCCAGAGCTCAGGGCTGGCAGTTCCTCTGCTTCATGTAGGCAACTGGGAGGAGACACAGCCTCAGGCTGGCTGCCGGCCTGCCCTAGACTGGCACAGGAGGGCTTCTCATCTCGGCCTACCTCCCAAGTCAAGTCGGCTCCCGAAGGCGGGAGTTGGCTAGAGAATCTGGCAGGCCATCCAGGCAGAGGGGAGGCTAGCAGGCAGGGAAACAGAGGTTGTCCCTGCCTGCAGACCAGCACTCTCTCCCAGGCTCAATGCAACCTCCAGTGGGGGCAGCAAGGTCTTCTCCTCTCTGGCCTCAAGTGCTTCCACCTCCTATGAGCAGCCCTCCAGATTGCACAGGATAAATGGAACTCCTTGATCTGTTAGCTGCCTTGTTGGAGCCTCCATCTAGATTGTCTTCTGTTTCCTGTGGGGTTGTTTCGAGTCATGGTAGCTTAGAGCAAAGTTCCCCCATCAGAACATTCTGGTTTGAATCCTAGTTCTTCCCTTCCTCACTGTCTGACCTTGAGCAAGTGACTTACCCTTTCAGAGTCTCAATTTCCCCAACTGTCAAATCCTATTTTAAGGATTCAAACAGACCACCTGATTGAAAACTGCACCCCCTTCCCTGCTTCATTTTTCTCCACTGTGCCCACCACCATCCTATACTCCATTCTGTTTAAGCCTTGTCAGGCCTCACATGAATGGAAGCTCCAAGAGGCCAGGGGTTCCTCTTTCTTTACTGCCATGTGCCTGGCTCAGAGACGAGGCGCCATGGAGCTGGGCGGGAGGACGGGCCTGAGCGAGAAGGACGGACACATAGCCCTGAGTCTGTGCAGGGAGAAGGTTGGCTCTGTCCTCTAGCCTTTCTGGAGTCTCTGGTGGAGCAATCTGATGCGACTCCATGGACTACAGCAGGCCAGGCTTCCCTGTCCTTCACTGTCTCCTGAAATTTGCTCAAACCCATGTCCATTGAGTCGATGCACATGGCTGATGCTCTGGTTCTATGAGGTGGAACAGGGAGGCAGAGGCTTGAATGATTGGCAAACATGGCTTGATTTCCAGAAAGTGACCTTGGGGTCAAACTCAACCTCCTTCAGTCTCACTTTTGAGGTCTATGGTCTGGATGTAAGTGGAGACTGTGAACAGAAAGGGAGGTCTCTGGTGGGCTGCACCCTCCCTGGCAGCCCCTTGACTTGCCAGAAGGCCTGGAAATCACCCATCACACACCTCTACCTTTCTTCAACCTCCTTCTCACACTTTATTTTGTCTGCTTCTCATGGCACATCTGTGAGAAAGCCCCCAGGAGTTATCATGCTCATTAAAAAAATTTTTTTTTCCCAAGCAGCCTGTGGAATCCCAGTTCCCCAGCCAGGGATCAAACCCGCGTTCCCTGCACTGGGAATAGTCTCAACCACTGGACTACCAGGGAAGTCCCTCTTCTTTAAAAAACAAAATTATGCTCCTTTTAAAGAGGAAAAAAATGGAGGCCAAATGCAAAAACCATGCCCAGGGTCCCCCAGAGCCTGAGGCCAGGCAGACCAGGTCAGTCCCAGCACCAGCTCTGAGGGTCTCGAGGGCTGCAGCGGGACCCTGGGGTCTGCCCTGCTGCCAGCCTCCTTCCTGGCCCCGCTGGGGGACTGCCGTCTCTTTTCCCTCTGCTTTTAATTGCTTGGAAACAGAGCTGACGGCAGTGGGAACAGCTCAGCCGCTGCTGGTCTCATGACTGGAGGCTTTTGTTTGTTCACAGAATCATATTTTTACACTCTGGCTTCTGCTAATTTATGCCGCAGACCAAGCTATCCCTTGCTGAAGATGGGGTTTGGGGGAGCAGGGAGTCAATTCCCAGGTTTATTTAGTCATCTTGGAGCCTATTAGAAGCTAAGCACAGAATAAATTAACAACAAAAAAAGTAATAATTGTTGGGCTCAGTGTTTATTTCCTGGCGGTTCC